ATTATTATTATTATTATTATTATTATTATTATTATTATTATTATTATTATTATTATTATTATTATTATTATTATTATTATTATTATTATTATTATTATTATTATTATTATTATTATTATTATTATTATTATTATTATTATTATTTATTTTTAAAAACTAAAATTTTTATAATTAAACTTTCCCAACTTGTTATGTCTTAGTTATATCAGGGATTTCAAGTTTGCTGGCATCAACGGTTTCTATTTATCAGGACCGAGTCATTTATTTCTGTCATGTCTTGGTTCACAGGCATTAGAAGTTATTGTTTGGCGTGATGGGAAGGAATACCAACAAAAATATTCCCGTGGAAAGCCTGTAACAACTTTAATATGTCATGAGCTTCCAGATGAATCAAAAGATCGTCAAGGGACACACATTAAGTTTTGGCCTGACAAAGAAGGTTAGTCATGACTTCCTAAATCCTTTATGCTTCTCATTATCTGGTCATTCAATTCCTTAGTGATAGTTGCTTTTAATGATTCCATATTCTTTTTTCTGACTATGAACCTTTATGCAGTATTCACTACTGCAATTCAGTTTGATTACCCCACCATTGCTGGACGAATTAGGGAGTTTGCATTTTTAAACCCTGAGGTGGAGTCATTACAACCTGCTTGCAGTTCCGTTGCATTTTTGAAACTTTTAAATATTGATTTTAGCATGTCTCTTGAATTCTTCATTTTTTCTTTTTGAATTTGGTGTTTTTTTATTTATTTATTTTAATACTTTGAACAAGGTGGAATTTTCCTCGACATTTACCAACCTTAAGTTGAATCTGCTTTCTATTTTTGCAGCTCCTCGAATGTGGAGATATGGTCCATCTCAATCTGATGAGTGCATATTCTGAAATATGCTGGATTATTCTTATGTTATTTAGATTAGTACTTAATGGTAGTTTAGCCTTGGCATATGCAATTAAGATTTTAGAGTTTCTTATGTGCCTATTTAACTTGTACTTTGCATTCAATAATGAAATAATAATAATCTGATTACCTTTGCAATTGTTTCACATATCGTACTTAAATTTTCTTTGCAATATAACTGTGTCCATGCAATAATGGTTAGAAGTTTATATAGGTAAGCCGGTGCATAAAAAGGGCTGGCCTGCTCTACCTCGACTTGCATTGCTCATCTCCCCCTACATATCTCAAACCTGCAGATGGAGCAACAGGTTGTAGAATTTGAAGCTATGATGAATAACATAGGTTCCACATTAGAGTTCGCACAATGAATGTCCATAGACTAAACTGGGGACCTAATTCGATGTAGTGAGCTTGGTATCACATTTGCTAATTTTCCCCTGTTTAACTTAGAGGGTGCCTGCTGCCTCTTCTTCAGATGTGTCCTTGACAACCTGACAGTTATCAGCCTCTGCTTTTGGTGCTGGGAGTGCTTGGTTGTGAGGCTTTCCTTTTTCTCAACAAATTTGGTTAGCCCTACAGAATTTGTATGCAACAAAAGCCTACAAGAGTTCCTGATGCAGGACAAATAGGGAAAGTGCTGGATTTTCAAAACAGAGGTTATTTGATGCCCTAAACAGTGAGTAATTCATGGTTTCAAGAGTAAATTGAAGGCTAATAGGTAGGGGGAGGGATTAGGGTTGATTTGAGGGTGATTGAATGGAGTTTTGAGGTTGAAAAATGCACTTTTAGAGGGCTGTAAATAGTAATCCGAGAATAGCAAATTGAAACATAAAAGAAGAAAGGAGAAGAAAAAGATAGGTCCAGGCATCACACCTGGATTCCATAGGCATCACACTTGGGGTTTGATTGCATCACACAATCCATAAAGAAGCTTCAAAACTCTTTTAACTTTTTATAAAATATCAACTCTATTGAATTAGAGGCATTACATGGCTTTATATAGACTTTAGAAACTTCCTGAACCAACTAGAATAAAAAAAAGAAACTACTATAATATCTTAGACTTCCAAAACTAATTTAAGACCAAATAAGAAACATAAATAAAACTCAATTAAATAACTTGACCCACAAGACGACCCATGGGCGACCCATATAACCCATGTCAGTAAATATAAAATTACCAAAATACCCTAACCTATAAAATCCTAAAAAACATAAAAATAATAACAAATTAAGATTCTAAGAATACTAGAAACATAATTATAGAAGATATCTATCAGTTTATCTATGAAATCCTGCCAATGTCCAAGTATCATCACTTTTCTGAATTTAGCATTCTTTGAGCTTCTTGTACTCTGGCATCAGATGTGGTTGCTTGTGTGCGCACAACTAGGACAGTGGTCATTAGCTTTTACAGTTCTGCTTCCATGTCATGAAGTTGCATGTTTCTTGGGTTTGTTTATAAGTTTTATTTATTTTTTTACCAAACCCAGGTAGTTTTTAAATAAAATTCCCGAACACTCTACCTTGTGAAAGCATATCTTAAACGTGTGACTCTGCCCTTCCATCCCTTGGATAGATAGAGAGGGAAGGCAGAGCTTTTGGTTTTTTCATGTTGTCAAAGAGTTGAACAATGGTTTTTTCAAGATTGAAGTTTGAATCGGAAAAAAAAGAGTCTCTTAACGAAAAACAAACAGTTTTTGATCGGTACCTGCAAAAGCGTGATGTGGCTTAAAAGTCCCGCTATTGGCTTTCTCGGACTTTGTTATGCTTCAGCCTCTTCTTTAGATTTGGAAATTCTCTTTCTAGCCAACCTCCCTGGATCTTAGGATTCGGGGTAAGAAGGTGATTCTCACTGGGTTTCCGAACCATTCTAAGAAAGGCATTTGCTTGCTGATGCAGTTGATTCTGCCTCTGCTAATGCTTTTGTCTCAGCGGATTCTTCCCATTAAGCAGATGGCACTTGGAACCGACCGAGGTCCTTTCCTTCCCTGTAATGATTGCAGCACGATGCCAATTCCGCCTCAGAGCCAGAATCTAGTGTTGGTTCCTTACCGCTACAGAAGAGCTGAATTGCGCAGGGACGAAGGCCCTTATGCCAGAGTCCATGGTATTTGTATCTTTTTTATAGTTGAGGGGGGACAAGCCTGCTAGTTCTTCCTATTTGACCTGAAACCGATCGATCTAGCCATGAGCAGGTTGAAGAGAGCTCTAACAGGCCTTGGAGGACCGAACCCATGTATGCGAAAAAATACGGGGATGAAGCTAAAACCTACTCCCAACAAGTTGCTGGATCGAAGTAGGACATTCTCCATATGCCGCCCGCCAGCTGCAGAGGGGGTTCAATTCCCGTTGTACGCAATGTGGCGAAAAAAACTGATTCAACGAGATATGCCTTGCCTGCATTAAGATTTAAATGTTAGTTCACCAAGACAAAATCACAAGTTGCTGGAACAAAAAAATGAAAAATAAAAATTGCAAGTTCAACTTGTGATTTCACTAAACAGAACATTGGAAGTTAAACCTAAGACTTCATTGAAGTATCAAATCGGTGAGATGTTCACTCTAGATGAAATTGTAGGCTGATAGTGCGATTTCAACCCAGGTTTGTGATTTCACGCAGTACCTAGATTTGAGAAATGCGTTGAAAACTACTTGGGTTTGGAAAAATTGTTTGAAAACTACTCGCTTCTGGTAAAAACCTGCTGTTTCTTTCACTACAATCAGCGTTTTAGTTTTTATCCACCTGAGCAACAGTTAATTTCTTTTGTACATGCATATCGGATTGTGATGGAAGAAACTCTAACTCTAATGCTATTTCAGTGGAATTGATCGATTTAAGCAACAATTTACCAATCTCGAGGAGCACTATGGTAAAGGAGAAAGAAGCACTCCTCTTCGAAGACAATATACCTCTTTGCCTAGGTATAGTGTTACGCAAAATATGTCAGCACTCTTCAGACTGATGATACTATTTTGTTAACAAGTGTTTTTTTTAATACCTATTAATGTTTTTTTTTTTTATTTTTTTTTAAATTTTTTTTTCAACAGAGAGCGGGTCTGTGCACCCAAAGATGAGTCTTCTGATGAAGACAGCGAGTTTGAAAAGCGTGCTACAGACTATATTGCTCGTACATCCTTTCAAAGCCCCACAAGATCACGGAGGAGCAACAAACCTGAAAATGCTGAAAAGGCTGTAGTAGCTATGCAGAATGGCCCTAAAAAACAAAATTATAGTGGTCGTGACCTGTTCTAGCATTAGTGCTTCCAAATGTTTCGGCTTAAAAGGGAGAGACTTTGAGGTAAGTAATTGGTGATTTAAAGAACTGAAACACTTTCATTCTTATCTGCATCTATAATGTACTGCAGGAAACAGTTACAGAGCAAAATGGAAACGTGGTAAGTGGATAGTCAGAGAACTGGGCGGCATTGCATGCTCTATAGTATACTACAGTTGGGTGAACTATGGATGGCTGCTACTTTTTTTTCTTCTTCTTCGTCTTTTATTATTATTATTATTATTATTATTATTATTATTATTATTATATAGGAAAAATTGGATATGTAGTGTAGACATTGTTGTATTAATTCTGTGTTTCAACATTTACATTTTTGTTTCATACTGAATTTGTAGCTACTATTATGATTTGGTTTCAAGTCCTTAGATCTGTTGACTTCCTAGTGCTTTTATGCAACAGTTTCACAATGAATCATGATGAAGCAAGAGGTTTATTTTAGTTTGTTGTCATTACTTCTGGTCTGTATCTCTGTTGGATATCATGATATTTTGGGGCATCAAATGAATGTCGAGCATTCTTTGTATTGTACATCTGAAGTAAGCTATTTGGTGCTACAGTCACAAACAAGTTTTGAATGGAGGTGGGTGGGATCATGTCTCGGCAGGTTAGAGTCGACGTGAATTCCACACCTACCTATTTGGAACTTGAGGGCTTGGTATTGATTGGTGACATCATGTAAGCCAACCATATAGAGAACTAGTAGATCATAGCACTGGCTGCTGGCTGCATCATTTGATAGGGGAAGAATGTTGCATCTGACCTTTATTTTTTATTATTATTTTTATTAAGGTCTCGTTTGGGAACTCTCATTTTTAGTAAAAAAGTCAAAAATTACTAAATTAGCCAAAAAGCTAACAACCCATACCAAAAAGTTAAAGATTCTCCTTTCTCTCTATTTTTTGCACATCTTTTCGTAAAAAATCAAAAAGTCATTTTAAACATATAGTTTTTTTTAGTTTATATTTTAGTCAAATAGCTAAAAAGTTACTAAATTGGTCTGTTCTCAAATGAGGCCTAAGTTGGAACAAGTATTGAGTGTGATGGTTTTTATCATTGCAATTTTTGTTTGGGAGAAATTTTTATTTCCACAGATTCATTTCATATATTTTTTTAGTTTGGATATCAACTTTTGAGTATAACTACATAGTTTAGAAATCAAATTTTGAATGAAAATCTAATATTAGTTTGGCTTAGAAGTTGATTTCCAAACTATAGATTTTGTTGAAAAGTTGGTATATGAACAATTTAGTTTTATTTGGAAGGAGGGGAATGTTCCAGTATGCAATGCATATTGTATGCAAGTCTACCATAAAATTACGTAAATTTTTATGAATTTACATAAATGATCTTACAAAAATGGGTAAGTGAAATATAAATTTGCGTGAGTTCGTGAAAACTAAAGATTTACATGAATTTGTGTTTGATTTACGGATTTTCATGAGATTACTTATGTAAGTTCGTGAAAATTTATGTAATTTTTAGGTCGGAGAAAATCCTCGCTTTGATGCCCTTCAACCTCGGTATTCCATAATGATTAAAATAGCAAAACAAATTAAAACCTTGTTTGAGACCCAAAAGGGCAAAAAAAGGTTTTATACTGTGGTTAAGTTAGATTTGGTAGGTCCATTAGAGCAAGGGGAAATATCACTTCGGTAGTATTTATAAAAGATAATTACAAATCAGTGATAAATTTTATAAAATATTTAATAATTAAAATTTAAATTTTTTCGTGAATTAGTAATTATTTTTTCAAATTAACACTGATTTGTAATTTTCTCTTCAAACAATGCATTGATACAGTAGGAAGAATAACAATTGAATTTATTTGACCAAAAATATACATAAAATTATGGGGGTGCAACTCTTTTCTGGGTTGCACTTCCAAAATATTCTCACATATTGATAATTTTCTCGGCCACCTCCCACTAAATAATAATTTTCCCAATTCCAAATTTTGTCAAAACCTACTTCGTGTTAAACCATTTGCAACACTTGTGCTTAGGCTTTAGCATTTACCAATATAAAAATTACTTTCCTCTTTGAAAAATTAGGACTGTTGTATATTATCTTATCTTATCTTTTTTTTTTTTTTAATTTTTTTAACCATTTATTATTTGTCTTTATTATCATTGGTTCCTTATTATTTGTCGTTATTATTTTATTGAGGATAATTACAAACACATCTCTCGAGATTTACTTAAATTACAAATTACTCCATGTGATTCTAGAAATTACATTACATCCTCAAGGTTTTTAATTTCATAACAAATAGGACTTTTTATTATTAAATTATCAAGTTAATTAACAGATTTTAATAATGCTAAAATTTTGTTTCAATTAATAATTCAGATAATTTTATTATTGTATAAGTGAACAGTTAGAAATTTTATTTTCTTAATTAATTTTGTTAAATAAAAAATTCTGACAGAAAAATATTTATAATTTTTCAAATTATAAGAAACAATTCATATTTTAAACAAATCTCATAAGATATATTTGTAATTTACCCTTTTATTAATGATTATTTCTTATGAATATCCTCGTAAGTGGCGACACAAAACGCGTCACAAAAAATGAACTACCATCTTAACTTCTGTTGAGATAATTAACAAAAGTTTACATCCGCACTAGCGGTGGAGTTAATTCATACTTTTTTTGCCCTTTCCTTTTACCAAAAGATTAGAAAGGTAAATTACACATTACCCTTTTTATGTTTGTCCGTCATTTTTTTATTTTAATTTTTAAAATTTATTTTTTTTCACTCTAACATTTCATATTTTATTTTTTTTTTCTTTTCATTTTACTCTTAAAGTTAATTTCTGTTTAAAATTAGATAAAAAATAATATATTAACAATCACGTGGCATAAAAATATTTTATTATATATAATTCATACCTCTGACATAAACTTAAAATCTAATACAATAATATATTTTTTATGTTCTATACCATTATTGTGACTCTTTTTTTGTTTAATTTTGAACAAAAGTTATCTTTAGAAGTAAAGTGAAAAACTTGAAAGAATAGAAAATAAAATTTAAAGGCTAAAGTAAGAAAAAGACCAACATAAAAGGAACAAAGTATAATTCATCCACCTATAAAAATAGATGGGCAAATTTCAACGACTTGTTACTCCTTGTGCACCTTTCCCCCTAATATTTAGAAATAAATACATAATTCTACGTGATTTATAAATTAAAATACATCATTTATACCGTTAACCAACTAAGCAAAAAGACTCAGGATAAATTTCCCTTTATATCTTTATCTCTCCATACTATTATAGACTCCAATTCAAATCCGTACCGATGATCCAAACCGTCTATCTTGTAAGTTTCGTAATAAAAATTATCAAAAAAATGAGTTTCACCGAAAAATGATAGAGAGTTTAAAAATTGGGAGAGTAGTTTTTAAAAATTATTTTAAGGAGAGAGTTTAGAGTTTTTTTTTGTTTGTTTGGTTGTGTATTTTAAAAGTAGTTTTGGAGTTTCAGAGTTATGGAATGATTTGATATTTTGTTATAATTGAGTAGATGTGTGTGAGAGAAAAGTGATTGAGAATGAGAGAGGAGAGAGAAAAAGTGATTGTTTGATAGGTAAGAGAGAATGATTTTGGAAATTATTTTGAAAAATTTACAAACCAAACAAATTTTTTAGAATTTTTTTTTCCTAAAATCACTCTACAAATCCATACCAAACATACCCTATAAAATTAAGAAAAAATTGCATTTTCTTTGATAATATGGATGACAAATGTGATTGTGAACTTAAAATATTCATTTTATAAAATGAAATATTTTTTGTTCCTGTATTTATAATTTTTCAATAAAATTTATTTTTTACATGGATGACCTTTATTACGAAACTTACAAGATAGACGGTTTGGATTATTGGTGCGAATCCGAATTGGGGCCTACGAGAGAGATATGGAGAGATGAAAGTATTGAGAGAAGCTAATCTCCAAAAACCCTTATAAATAAGTAAAATCATTGAGTAATACTATAAAAATAAAAAATTCATACATAAGTTTTATACATAATGATATAACTCATTATGGATCATTCACTTAAAAAAAAAATAAATAAATAAAAGAAACACCATAAAAAATATATTTATTTATAATAATGATATTATTACATCATTATTATAAAATTTTTTATATGAATTTTTTGCATGAATAAAATTTTCCAAAATCATTATATAGACCACTACCGTTTTCATCATTTTATTGGGACTCAAAATGCACTTTAGTCCCTACACTTTACTACAAATGCAATGTATCTTATGATATCTAGTTATTAGTATATAACTCTCTTATATCCAGATACAGTTTCACACTTATTATCAATTTGGATGGAATATCTCATGATGTACTTTAGTATACAAATCATAGGAGGTTATGTGTTTATTTCTAAATTATAAGGAATTATAGGAGATTATGTGTTTATTTTCAAATTATAAGGCCAGAAACCGCACATGAAGTAAATCTTAAGAGAGTATAGTGAAATTTGCCCAAAATAAAATAATAAAGCTACAACTTCTCATATTTTGCTTTTGTAAAGATATATCAACCTTTTATCTGCTGAAACCTCTGCATAAAAAAAATAAAAATAAATAAATAAATAAAAAATCTGCCTACAAGAAAAACCAATTCAAAGTGCTACATTCCCTTCCTATTCACTTCTAAGACACTTTAAATTTAGGTTTTAATTGAAAGAGTTTAAAAATGATTTTCTGAGAAGTAGTTGCAAGCAATGAAAAAATGCGGCTTAACATTGTCACCAAAAGGACTTTCAAAGAATGCCATTCGAGCTAGATGAACAAATGTGGTTTAATGCAACTTCTAGATATCAAGAAAAGAAGTCCTACAGAAAATGTTAGCATTACAAGACCATGCCCTGATAAATGCTTTCGCTTTAGGCATTAATAACTTCCAATTGCCACGACTCACGACAAATACGAGTGAGACTTCTCGCGGGGGAATTGTATCGTATACTTCCACTAGCCACTTCCATCAACTTGCCCAAGAGAGGCAAGGTGCGCCATGTATTGCTGCAGCACGGGAAGGGGAAAAAAGAGAAAGAAAAAGGTTAAGCACTGTAAACCTTTTATTCTGTACAAATCTGAGTTCTGAGCATATTTACAGTAAATTACTATCAATTGATTTTGTGATTTTTTTCATAATATGTGAACCGCATGGATGATTTAATATCACTGGTATAAACTATGTAAATTGGCACAAGAGCCAATTCAGTAACCATATGTTCAATGTTTAGATCAATCCTCATATTTGATTGAAAGGATTATGTTCTGCTCTGAAGTTAGGCTGCTGAGTTTCTGTGTCTCCCACCATGATCCAAATTAGCTTTTCAATGCTTTCCTTAGGGAAGGTGAAGGTGGCAGTTGTTCATTTATATGTGTGTGTGTGTGTGTGTGTGTGTGTGTAAGAGA